TCCTGCTGTCCTCATACATGTCCTGTACCAGTCTAACATGTCCTGCTATCCTCATACATGTGCTGTACTAGTTTAACATATTTCTCTGCCACTCCAGATTTCCTCCCTCGACATCCTGTCATTGAAAGATATTACTGTGAGACTGAAGTTCTTCTTCTTCATAAGATAAAGGTGGCTTTCAAAGCTTCAGATTGATGTTTAGAGGTTTTAATACTTTTGTTTCATGTCAGATTAACTTTAAAGACCAACCATTCATTGAAGGAATAACCAAACATTGTAAATAATGTGAGACAACTTAGAGCTCATCGTGTTGTAATGACTTTCAGCTTGTTCCACATCAGATTTGAGCTCATTAAGTTTTTACTGAAGTACAGACATGTTTGCTATCAGCTAGCTGTGGCAGCCATATTGAACTGGGCTGACTTCAAAGGTCATTTTGTTGTAAATTTATATCCAGTAATGGTGAGCTGTCAGGGCCGACAAGGCGTCCTCTGCCAGACTTGAAGTTTAATGATCAGAATCAGTTACATGTTTTTTATTTAACTATTTATTTGAACACCAAAGTTCATGCTTAATAATCCAGGTACAAATCCAGCAATGTTCAGTCAGATCATCTGGATGGTTTCTTTTCTTTTCTTTTTTCTTTTTTTTTTTTTTTGCAGAGACATTTCGTCCTGTGGATGAAATGCCTCAGCAAAAAAAAAAAATTAAAAAAAAGAAAGTTCAGATGACCAGACTGTACATTATTTATTAGAACATTTCAATCACTGACTGTCTTTATTTTTATTGCTTTGACTCAGGTGGGCAGCTTTTTGAAATAGAAATATATTTCAGAGCTTTAATTCAATGATAGTTAAAACATTTTCTGTTAAATCTGTCTCAAAACCACAAGAATTATTGGTGTAGGTTGGCAACTTCAGTAGAAATATGCACAAACTAGAGTACTTAATGATTACATGAGGGTTTCTGACCTTGTTACCTTGTTGTTGTTGAAGAGTAGCAGCTACTTTTTCAACCCACAACAGCTGAAGGTGGAGACTGAAATGACTTGGCTGCAGATATTGTTACAATATATTTTTCAGAACAGACTTTTCAAGAAAAGCCTGACATTGTGATGAAAGAATGGCCAACCCTGAAACTAAAAGCCTGTCCCAGCCCGGGAATATCATATTTTAAGAAAGTTTAGAACCCAAGCGTGCAGACACAAATTTTTGGAAAGACTCAAAGGTAAAATGAGTAAAACTATTTATTTAAACACAGACTAAAGAGCTGATGTGGCAGCAAAATACTCATAAGGAAAAGCTAGGGAATACCCAGAGGGAGCAAACATGAACACCTTCACAGCTTAATGCAAGGGCAGGGAGCTAAAGACCAGAACTGATTAGACCAGGACACTAACGAGGGAGAAATGATAAACAACCAGGGAGACGATGAGGGTCAGGTGAGTGAGACGGGGAGGAGCTGGCTACAGGAGGGGAAAACACTGGGGACGCTGAAACACAAACAAGATCACAAAAATACTGGAAAAATAATGGATTAAACACAGAGCATGACAGGGAGAGAGGTAATCCATCACTTTTAATCCAGCAGCTCTGAGGGGCATGGACGGCTCACAGCACTGACAACGTCTGTTATTGATATGATGTTCTGACACAACACATAGTTTAACTCTTGATCCGGTTAATGTGCTGAAACTTCTGGGTGTGGTGCAGCCGTGGTCAAAGAGCTAATTGTTGACTTATTCGTTTTAATTTGGTTTCTTGTTTTGGGTTAATATTTGAAACTTGATATATAAAATATATCTATGACACAACACTGTGGTTTTGTAACTGTGGCATCATAAATACGGCATTCAGAGTTAAATTTATGTAGGTAGGACTTCACTGAAGGCCTAGCTGTGAAATGCACGGTGTGCCAATGATCTCTGAGAGTTTCAATAAAATATTTCCTGTAGTTGATAATATATTTTTCTAACCAACAGAGTTTTCTGCAATAGTTATTGACAAAGGTTTTAAACCATGTCTCATGTAATCAGTTAGTTCTTAGGAGTGACGATAAAACTTGTTTTCAGGCTGGACAGCCTAAAGTCCAAGTGTTGTTCCGACCTCTCAGACGTGACTCTGATGCGCTCGTTGTTGGACGACTGCTTCTCGTCCTCCTTCTCTCTGAAGTATTCTTCGACACACTGCTCCTCAAACTCGTGCAGACTTTTCAGCTCCTCTGCGTTCAGCACCAGCTCTGAGAAAACAGAAACCACAAACACCACTGTATGATGTGCGTCCCTGAGGCTGCTTGTGGTTCCACTCAAACACAGGAATTATACTGGGAAGATCTGGAACTGTTCCTAGACTTAAGGTGACCCTCTCTGGTGTCTTTCTTACGGAGTCGTCTCTCGCGGTCATCGCGCTCCCCCTCCGCCCTCCTCTTGCAGGTGCAGCAGAGCCTCTTCAACACGATGTAGATGTGGGGGAAGATGATAAGAGGAGGTGGCAGGATGGGGCGGTCGTGGAAGGTCATGATCAGCTGGTACCGCTGGAACTTCCAGACCTGATTAGAGATGGACTTTACCTCAAAGAAAGTGTTGCTGTGGAGAAAGAACAGTGAGGAATGAGTTCCTGCAGAGAAACTAGTCTACATGCTTTAGACAAACTGTTGGACTAAATGGGAAAAATGTTCATTGTTATGCTGATGACAGTTACATTGATCCATGAAACCTGACTAACCCAGCTAGTTATACAGAAAACACACACGTCTTAGGGAAATAGAAACCTGGATGACTCTTGATCTTCTGCTTCTAAACTCAGACAGACAGAGGTCGTGGTTTTTGGACCTGAGCATCTCAGAAACAAACTGCAGTCCAACTTCCTCTGGTTAATTTTCATTTGGCCTCCAGTTCTAATGTCAAGAGCCATCCATCCATCCATCCATCCATCCATTATCTTTACCCGCTTATTCCATTTTGGGTCACGGGGGTCGCTGGTGCCCATGTCCAGCAATCACTGTGTGAGGGGCGGGGTACACCCTGGACAGGTCGCAAGTCCATCACAGGGACACATAGAGACAAACGAGACAAACAACCATTTACTCTCTCACTCACACCTAGGGACAATTTAGAGTTACCAATCAGCCTAACATGCATGTTTTTGGTCTGTGGGAGGAAACCGGAGTACCCGGAGAAAACCCACGCATGCACGGAGAGAACATGCAAACTCCACCCAGAAAGGCCCCTGGACCGGGGTTTGAACCAGGGACCTGCTCACTGAGAGGCAGCAGTTCTACCAGTTGCGCCACCGTGCTGCCTAAAGTCAAGAGCCTTTGTGTTAATTTGGATCAGGATATCTCACAATGAAAAAGTTACAAGGACTGCTTTTTTCCACCTGAACAATATCACTAAATTTAGAAACATCTTGTCCTAAAATGATGCAGAAAAACGGGTCCATGCATTTACCTGAGTGAAATTGCCCCCCCCCACTCCCCCCCCACACACACACGTTCTTCAAATCTATCAAAATTGGTGTCAAATCCTTGTGCTACATTTGTGCAGCAACAATTTTTGTTTGTGCAGCTATCATTTTAAATATGTTAATAAATGTTTCCAGAGGTCAAAAAGTACAAAAGTACAAAAGTACAGTGTGTTTGATAGCACCCCCTGGTGATCAGAAACCAAAATACAGGTCTTTGGGTTTGTTTTTTTGGAGGCGTTGTACTAGTTCAAAATGAACTTCATCCATGTTAAAATAATCTATTCATGGCCATAGTTCAGCACCTAAACATTTTTAAATAAAATTCACAGTTCCAACATGAACAGATTTTCATTGACCTTTGATGACCCCTGGAAACTTTTATTAATATATTAAAAATGATAGCTGCACAAACAAAAAAAATGCTGCACAAACCAACACAAACGTTTGACCTCAATTTCGTTAGATTTGAAGAAGGTGTGTGTGTGTGGTGGGGGGGCTTCATTCAGGCCATGCATTTATCAGTTCTACATTGGAATAGTATCATTCTTTAATATGTTGGTGCAAAAAAAACAAACTCTAAAAGGTCTTCATTTGATCCAAATGCTGCTGTCATGTTTCTCCAGCCCCACTCTGACCAGGATGATATTGAACCTTTTAAATTCCATAGAAACAGCAAGATGGATGCTGATTTTCATGCACAGATTCTCTAATTTAATTACTTCAAATAAATAACATTGTTTTAATAATAATAATAATTATTATTATTATTGAAATAGTGTGATCTGTTGTGTGTTTTGTTCACTTGATGTAGAATAAGTGTAGAACCTGAGAACTGGATGTATTAGCGAGTGTCTGGTGTACTGACTTGAAGACAGCGATGAGCAGGTTGACGAGCAGGATGTTGGCCACCAGGAGGTAACAGGCCATGATGGCCGGCGTGAGCCAGGCTCCAGGAATACAGGGAGGAAGCTTTTTTCCATCTTCATCATACATGTTTTCCCCACATGGAGCTGAAACGCAAACAGAGGGTCTTATGGTCTCTAACCTCAGCTCAGATCTACACAGATGAATTAAAACCACTTTCAACTAAATCTGAGACTCGTGCACTCTTAGGAACATGGTCTGGTTCTGAGCTCCATACAAACGAGGTGTTGGTCCAAACTGTTCTCATCTCTGGAACAGGTTTTCAGATCAGTTCTGCTGGGACTTACTGGGAATTGTGTAGTACCTAATGATTAAATGAGGGTTTCTGACTCTACTGAAAACCCAGTTTTACTAAAAAAGTCTGATAAATTACTAAATGTAAATGTAAATATTTTCCTGCTCAGCAGAATTTTTCTTTGTTTCTTCGTGGAACTGCGGACTGTTCAGAAGCTGCAGACGAAAAATTAGTTGCAAATAGTTCTGTTCAGAAACAACATCGGTAAAACAAGCGGTACGCTGATGTCCTCCATCGATGAATGATTTAAATAATGAATGTTTATTGTTTTGGAGAGCAGCCATCTTGGATTTTGATGTGGCAACCCAACAACTGAAGGCCGAGCATTCCTTGAAGAAATGCATACCGTGTTGTGATGTGTTCAGGACATACCTGAAAATTCATGCAGTTTGTGAGCAAGCTCTCATTTAACAAAGTGTTTGAAAAACTGGATACATGTTTAAAGCCCTTTTTGTGTTGGCCTAGGCCGATCAGGTGTGGCAGCCATCTTGATTTGGATTATGAAGATGTTAAGGAGTTTGACTCTAATCTTTAATTCCAACATTTAAAGCGAAACATCTCTCAATGTGTGGTTTTTGGAGTATGTGTTTGGAACGGTGCTCAGCTACTACCACACCAAATGTTAGATCACTAACTGTTCAATCAACAAAATTAAACTTTTTTTTGTTGGCTAAGGTTGCTTAGCTGTGTCAGCCATCTTGAAATCGACCTACTTCAAAAGTTAGTCAGGAGAAGATCTTTAATCAATAATTACTTTCTAAGAGATTTAATGAAAAACATTGTTCACTAGTTCATGAGATACTTTGATAACAAACAGAGAACAGATCATTTAGACAGGCAAATTCTTAAAAAGACATCTCACACAACCTGTGAACACTCAGAGCTGATTTAAGGGAAGATACTCAGTTACTACCAAACCAAATTTTAGCTGAATATCTGTGAAAAAGATTGGATTATAGCCTTTTTGTGTTTGCTAGTGTCTGAACATCTTAACTTGAAAACTGAAAAATTAAATCAGGTGTAAATGTACTTCCAATTATTATTTTCAGAGTTTCATTAAAATCTGTGCAGTGATTTATAGGATATTTTGCTAACAGACTAACAAACATGGGCATCTTGTTTGTCTTCACTGGTGTGTGATAAAAAGTGGTTAGAACCAGAATGTGAGTAAAAGCAGTTTCAAAAAGAATATTAATCATTTAGCTGCACTGTCTGGAAACTTCCCCACGTCTAAGTGTTAATAAAATACAATACAAGGACATGTTAAAGGTCTTTTTCTTACGGTTGATCTCCATGGCGTAAACTGTCCGTCAGCAGCAGAATGAACAGAACAGTGAGAGACGACAATCTTCGTCATCATCTGTGAGAAAGACTTCATGTAACACTTATTAAAATATCAATACAAAGTGTATCACTGAACACCATGAATGCAGTCAAATACACAAGAATAAATACACCACACTTTCAATTAGTCCTTATGAAAGCCCTGAAAGCTAGATAAAAATTGTTTGGAGGGATGTCCCATGATCTAAATGTGACTAAGTTTATATTTTTCCTCCTGACTTTGTCTTATTAGCAGATAATAAAGGTTAGAAGGTGCTGAGAAAAACAAAACTGTTTAATTTCTGAAGGAATATGTTTTCTTTGAGCACCAAAAACAAAACAAACAAAAAAAAAAAAAATCAATCAAACAATAATAAAATAAAAAAGTGCAAATTTGATAAATCAATAAACAAACAGAAAAATATATTTTAATTTTATATATAGGGGAGGACGCTTGCAGTAAGATGTATTGTGACACTTCCTGTTTCCTCTGCTGGAGTAATTTTGCTCAAGGTATCTTGTTTTTCTGGATTTATCTGTCTTTTGCACAGTTTTTCATTATAGTACGCAAACACCCTCAGCACAGTTGTTTTTCTACTGTTGGATTGTGCTTGAAACACCTTTTATCTTTCAACACTTCTTAGTTTTTATAGGTGTATTTGGGATGTGCTAGCTGTGGCTAGCATTAGCTTAGCATGGTTTATCTTTCTCTCCCAGCTCATTCTCACTTGCTCTATGTGTCACATGTTTAGTTACTCCTCTACCTCCTTTAGTGGTAATGATACATGTAATAAATGTAGTCTTATGGTAGCTTTGTAGGAGAGGCTGTCTGAACTGGAAGCTCGGCTCCATGCTGTTAAAAAACCATTCGCTAGTCCGGTCCCTGTAGGCAGCATGGAGCCACCGAAGCTAGCTCCCGTTAGCGGTCCTCCAACAGACCCCGAGCAGCCAGGACTCCAGGCTGGCTGGGTGATGGTCTGGAGTAAGCGTAGCCCCCAGTTCACCACAGACTCATTCATGTTTCTAATAGATTTTCCTCGCTCAGTGACACACCCGCAGAAGCAGACCCTGGTTATTGGCAGCTCCATAGTCCGAAACATGGCACTAGGGATTCCAGGGATCATAGTCAAATGTATCCTGATGCATGCTCAATAATCCAGGTAGAAAAATCTAAAAAAGTTAAATCTGGTCCTCTGGACATTCAAAGAAAACAAAACAAAGCAAAACAACAACAAAAAAATGTAGAAACGTTTCGTCTCCCATCCGAGAGACTTCCTCAGTCTGAGGTGCTGTATTCAGCTCAGTCTCTTAAATAGCACCTTCTCAGAGTGGATCAACCAGTTTTGCTGCTGACAACCAAAACCAGCTGATCACATGCTCAAGAAGGACCATCAGCCTAACAATGGATCATTAGCACACTGATGGCTGTTTACTATTCACAGAGGGCTGAGTGATACTAGCAATCACAGCATTGTAAGAGGGGGACAGTTGAACCCGGAGGTCTCCACCCCTGTTTAACGATGGACGATTTCTTTTCACAAAGATGGCCTCCTTTACTCCTCTCTCAAACCATCGTTCCTCTCTGTCCAGGATGTGAACATCTTCATCCCTGAAAGAGTGACCGCTGGCCTGGAGATGAGTGTAGACTGCAGAGTCCTGGCCTGATGATGTTGATCTTCTGTGCTGGGCCATCCTTTTGGCCAGTGGCTGTTTTGTTTCCCCAATGTAAGACTGATCACCCTCCTGACACTGAACAGCATACACAACATTGCTCAGTTTGTGCCGGGGGACTGGATCTTTGGGATGAACCAGTCTTTGCCGTAATGTATTTTGGGGTTTAAAAGCCACTGGGACGTTATGTTTAGAAAATAAACGTCTCAGTTTCTCTGATACTCCCTCAACATATGGAATGACCACTGGTCTGGGTCTGGGTTCCTCCTTTTCACCTGATGGCTGACTGGAGTCCTGTTTGGGTTTCTTCTCTGCTTTTAGGAAGGCCCAGTTAGGATATCCACATTGCTCTAGAGCCTGTCTTGTGTGGGATTTCTCCTTCTGCCTGGCTCCCGAGCTAGTGGGGATGCTGTCTGCTCTGTGATACAGAGTCCTGATGACTCCTAATTTGTGCTCCAAAGGGTGATGGGAGTCAAACTGCAAATACTGGTCAGTGTGGGTGGGTTTGCGGTACACCTCAGTTTGCAAATGTCCTCTATCAGAGACTGAGACCTCACAGTCCAAGAAAGCCAACTTGCCATTTTTTACATCTTCTCGTGTGAACTTGATGTATTTATCCACAGAGTTGATGTGGTCAGTAAAATGTTGGACTTCCTGAGATTTAATTTTAACCCAGGTGTCGTCAACATACCTGAACCAATGACTTGGTGGTGTCCCTGAAAAGGACATCAAGGCTCTCTTTTCTACCTCCATGTACAGGTTGGCAACAATAGGAGAAACTGGAGACCCCATAGCACACCCATGTTTCTGCCTATAATATTGCTCCCCATATGTGAAGTAGGTTGACTGCAGGCACAGTTTCAAGAGTTGACACAGTTGTTCTGTGGAAAGTGTGGTCCTGCTGCTCAGAGTGGTGTCTGATTTTAATCTTAAACTGACCACCTCTACTACATCATCAACAGGAATGCACGTAAAGAGTGATGTGACATCAAAAGAAACCATTGTTTCATCAGTCTCCATGATGACATCCCTCACCTTATCCACAAAGTCCATGGTGTTCTGTATGTGGTGTTCTGAGCTGCCAACTAAAGGGATGAGTACAGACGCCAGATATTTGGAAACATTGTAAGTGACAGAGTTAATCATGCTAACGATTGGTCTTAAAGGTACACCTTGTTTGTGGATTTTAGGTAAACCATACAGACTAGGTGTGGCCTCCCCTGGGTACGGTCTGTGGTACAGAATACGGTCAATAGCCTTGTCCTGCTCCAAAATTTTCAGGCAATCTATCAATTTCTTCTTGTAACCACTTCCTGGATCTCTTTTCAGAGGTTCATAAGTGTTTAAGTCACTAAGGAGTGTCATAACTTTCTCATGATAGTCTTTCTGGTCCTTCTTGAGCATGTGATCAGCTGGTTTTGGTTGTCAGCAGCAAAACTGGTTGATCCACTCTGAGAAGGTGCTATTTAAGAGACTGAGCTGAATACAGCACCTCAGACTGAGGAAGTCTCTCGGATGAGAGACGAAACGTTTCTACATTTTTTTTGTTGTTTTGCTTTGTTTTGTTTTCTTTGAATGTCCAGAGGACCAGATTTAACTTTTTTAGATAGTCAAATGTAGTCCGGGGGCCAGAGTAGGTGACATTGAATCCTACCAGAAACTGCTGACTAAGGCTAAATACAGTAAAGTCAAAGTTTCTTTATTTGTCATACACACATGTGGTACATGTGGTGGAATGAAATTCCCAGTTACATCCAACAAAAGTATAAAATGTAAAAGAAAAATAGTAATAGGGTCCAAGATATGAACTAAGAAAAATGTTAAACTTAAAATACGCTAAGTACTAGTAGTACAAAAACAATACGCCAGACATCAGCACAAACATGAGTCTGTGTGAACAGATGAGTAAAATTGAACACAGCAGCATGAAAAAGAGCAGCAGCATAAGATCAGCAGCATAGATAATCAACAGCACGTATCAACATCCATCCATCCATCCATCCATCCATCCATTATCTTTACCCGTTTATTCTATTTTGGGTCACGGGGGTCACTGGTGCCCATGTCCAGCAATCACTGTGCGAGGGGCGGGGTACACCCTGGACAGGACGCAAGTCCATCACAGGGACACATAGAGACAAACGAGACAAACAACCATTCACTCTCACCTAGGGAGAATTTAGAGTTACCAATCAGCCTAACATGCATGTTTTTGGACTGTGGGAGGAAACCGGAGTACCTGGAGAAAACCCACGCATGCACGGAGAGAACATGCAAACTCCACCCAGAAAGGCCCCTGGACCGGGGTTTGAACCAAGGACCTGCTCGCTGAGAGGCAGCAGCTCTACCAGTTGCGCCACCGTGCTGCCTGCACATATCAACAATCAACTGGAATTACATTGATTTTTTTCACAGTGATTATTCTGGTTAGGGATTCATGAGTCTAACAGCTTCAGAGTAAAAACTTTTCCTCAGTCTAGGTGTTCTACACTTAATGCTCCTCAACCTCCTTCCTGAGGGGAGTGGGGCAAAAAGTGTGTGTGCTGGGTGAGTGGGGTCCTTCATAATGCAGGTGCCCCTCTTCCAGCATCTGGATGTCTGTGATGGTGGGGAGCAGTGGCAGCTCATCAATAGAGGGCACTCACCATTTTACATTGAAGACTTCCATCCATTATCTTTTACCTGCTTCTTCCATTTTCGGTCATGGGGGTCGCCAGTGCCCATGTCCAGCAATCACTGTGCGAGGGGCGGGGTACACCCTGGACAGGTCGCAAGTCCATCACAGGGCCAATGAAGACTTAAAAAAATAAAATAAAATGAAATAAGCTGACTGTGTATTGTAAAAGTAGGAACTGGTGAGTTTGTTTATTTATTTGTTTCTGGAGTTAGCATGCTAGCACTAGCCTCTAGATGATTGTATTGGGGGTGTAGGTGAAGCAGGTGGAGAGACGCTCCAGTTTGCACAGGATAGCTGATGTTTCAGGCTTCATGGTAAAGTTTGACCCAACCCTGGAGGGTTCAAGAGGACTTAATATTCAACTCACTAATTGCCACACGGGACAAGGATCAGTCCTGTTTCCTGGAGTGTCTTTGGCGGAGTGCGCTGCAGGCCTGGAGAAGGAAACCCTGGGAATAGAAACACTGACCCGGTGACATGTTGCCTTATCATTTTCTTTTTGTTTTAAAAGACCGAGACTGGTGAATGGGCCCCAACAAATTTATTTTTTTGTATCTTGATATTTTTGCATAACTGCAGACTTTTCATTGGACATTTTTTATTTATTATTATTGACAGATCTCT